GATCGAGTCCCGCATCGGGCTCCCTGCTCCGCGGGAAGCCTGCTTCTCCCTCTCCCACTCCCCCTGCTTGTTCCTGCTCTCACTATGTCTCTCTCCGTCAAATAAATAAATAAAATCTTTAAAAAAAAAAAAACTGTTGATTCATGGAACCAACTACCCTTAAGAATGTTAACTTCTACCAATAGCACATGAGAGTGCCTAAATTGTCAGTAATACTGGGTTGTATGTTTTTCATCTTTCCCATCTGACAGGTGAAAAGTGGTCTTGTCACTATAATATGGTAGTTGAGAATGTGACTCTGATAGATGTGATGTGATATAGTATGTGACTCTGGAGCCAGCCTGCAGGGGCCTGAATTCTGACTCAGCCACTTACTGTGTGACCTTGGGTAAGTCATTTAATTTCTCTTTCTCAGTTTCATCTTTGATAAGGTGAGCATGATGATAGCACCTGTTTCAGGAAGAATAAGTCAATTAATCTAAGTAAATGCTTCAAATAGTAATGGAGACATGTCACTCAATAAGTATGACTTAATGATGTTTTTTGTATATTAAAGATTGAACATCTTTTCAAATGTGTTTTGGTATATTTTTTGAGTCACTTATTCATGTCTTTTTTTTTTTTTTAAGATTTTATTTACTTTTTGACAGAAACAGACAGCGAGAGAGGGAACACAAGCAGGGGGAGTGGGAGAGGGAGAAGCAGGCTTCTAGCGGTGCAGGGAGGCTGATGCAGGGCTTGATCCTGGGACCCCATGATCATGACCTGAGCCGAAGGCAGACGCTTAACCGCCTGAGCCACCCAGGCGCCCCACTTATTCATGTCTTTTGCATATTTTCCCAGTAATATTTTCTTAATAACTTGTAAGAGGTAAAGTGTTGACTATAATATAGCAGAATAGTTCCTAGTTTGTCATTTGTCTTTTGACTGTGTTTATGCAATTTTTTTTCCTTGGGAAGTTTTACATTTTTAGGTAGTCAAAACAATCTTTTTTCTTATGGTTTTTCCTGCTGCTAAGCCAGTATTTAGAACAGGCATATCTCCCTACCTCAAAAATATAAAAAACAGTTATTCATTCTCTTTGAGTATTTGGTGTGTGTGTGCACGCGCACGCGTGCTTTTAAATCTTTAAATTTAATCTTTAAATCTTTGATCCTTCTGGAATTTATTTTGATATGAAGATAGCAGATGAGATCTGGCTCTATTTCTTTCCAGTTGTGTACTGTCCCAGACCTATTTATTAAAGAAGAAAGACCAGGAGCCTTTAATCTTTTCTCCCCTCCCCTAATCTGAAAGTAAGATATCCTAGAGATAGGAGATCTCCATTTCAGAGAATGAATTTCATGTTTGGACTCAGTCATTCAGTTGCTAAGCTATGGGATCAGAACTCACGGTTTGACTAAGCAGTGAAACTGCTGCATTCACTAGGGTAGCTTCTCTGCTGGCTCTTCTCTGGAGACTTCTTCTAAATGGATCTTAGTTTGAGGACTGCTTTGAAGGGGCCATTGTTAGTTTGGAATGATAAGTTCTGTGTTCTTTTTTTTTTAAAGATTTATTTGACAGAGACTCAGCGGGAGAGGGAACACAAGGAGGGGGAGTGGGAGAGGGAGAAGCAGCCTTCCTGTGGAGCAGGGAGCCCGATGTGGGGCTCAATCCCAGGACCCTGGGACCATGACCTGAGCCGAAGGCAGATGCTTAACCGACTGAGCCACACAGGCGCCCCAAGTTTTGTGTTCTTAAACAAATGAAGTGATTATAGTGGATATTTCCTCACTCCAGCCTGAGAGTATTGGTAGAGTATTGATGAGGGGGTATTGAATGGTAATGAACACATTGTGTTCTACCTGTGCCCTCATCAGCTCTTTTTGGAACTCTTGTCCCATCTAGTTTCTTCCCTCAGACTCAAGATGGAGGGAGAGCTATTCCTATATGACAGAGTGTTCATATATCCCATGGCAGCTATCATTTGCCAAAGACGTCCAGGAAGGGTAGCTGACTCTTAACATGGCATATGCTGTGTGCCAGCAACTGTTCCAAGCACCTTACATATATAAGGTTTTTATGAGATTGGTGCTCTGTACTAGGTTGAATAGTGTCCTCCCCAAATTTCATGTCCACCCAGAACCTATGAATGTGATCTTATTTGGAAATAGGATCCTTGTAGATGTAATCAAGTTAAGATGAAGTCATAGTGGATTAGGATGGGCCCTAATCCAGTGACTGGTGTTCTTATATGAAGAGGGAGATACATAGAGGAAAGACATCCGTGTGAAGATGGAAGCAGAGATTGGAGTTGTGCTGCCACAAACCAAGGAATGTCAAGAATTGGCAACCACCAGAAGCTGGAAGAGGCAAAGAAAGATTCTTCCCTGGAGCCTTCACAGGGAGCATGGCCCTGCTGAAACCTTGATTTTGGACTTCTAGCCTGCAGAACTGTGAGAGAATAAATGTCTTTTGTTTGAAGCCACCCACTTTGTAGTGTTTGTTATAGCAGCCCGGGAAACCAACACATGCTCTTTTATTATCTCCATTTTCAGATAAGGAAACAGGCCCAGAGAGATCAGATACTTTGAGATCTGTCTAGGCCACTGCTCTGCTGGCTGGGCACTTACTCTGAAGTTCTTGATGTTGCTGTTGTCAGCTCGGCACCTTCACCATGGCTGTCACACCTTCTGGTAGTGCTGGGACTGAGCTGCTGGAATGGCTCCTTCCCTAACACAGCAGGCCACAGACTTTCCCCATTCTTGCCCATTTCACGCCCTAAAGCAGAAACTCCTCTCAGAGGCTTCTGGCTGTAACCTGATCATTTCAGCAGGTTGCTTCATGACCCCACTCTTCCAGGTGAAATCAGGCTTTTTTCATTTCCATGCAGTGTCAGAGAAATGTGGGTGACAGTTGTGGGGAGGGTCACTCAGCTGCTTCTGGCAATTATTTTTATGCTTCCCATTTCTGGCCTGCTATACATCCTAGAATTTCTGTCAGTAGACAAGTCGTGGTTGTTTTTGGAGCTTCAGGATGTCACACACAGCTCACGTCGCACATATCACAGTTCATGGCTGTGAGCAGAGAAGGAGCAGCATCATGACTGCAGTGACTCTGAGGGCCCTGGTCACCTGTTCTTGATAAACCCAACACACCACAGTGGCTCTCTTCTCTGCCAAAGTGAGTGGGGGGATAAGGATGTTATCTGACCCAGCCCACCCCCCTAAACAGCTTCTTGTTTGCCCATGGCCTCTTTTGCTGGCATCCCAGAAGGGATCTCCTCCCTTTGCATCCCATTGCTGGCTGCGGAATCTTGCCTGCTTTCCAATATGAACCTTTTGCTTTGGATCTTGCTCTTACTCTTTTTTTTTTTTTTACTTATTTTTGAGAAAGAGCGCGAGAGAAAGCACGAGCAGGGGGAGGAGACGAGGGAGAAGGACAAGTGAGAGAAAGTGTGAGCAGGGGGAGGAGAAGAGGGAGAGGGACAAGCAGACTGTGCTGAACGCGGAGCCTGAGGTGGGGCTCAATCCCACGACCCTGAGATCGTGACCTGAGCTGAAACCAAGAGTCAGACGCTCAACCCACTAAGCTACCCAGGCACCCCAATCCTGCTCTTATTCTTTATTTTTATAAAGATTTTATTTGACAAAGAGAGACACAGCGAGAGAGGGAACACAAGCAGGGGGTAGTGGGAGAGGGAGAAGCAGGCTTCCCACTGAGCAGGGAGCCCGATGGGGGGCTCGATCCCAGGACGCTGGGATCATGACCTGAGCCGAAGGCAGACTTTTAACGAGTGAGCCACCCAGGCACCCCTCCTGCTCTTATTCTTAACAACTCTCACTAGACTGAGCTCCAGGAATTAAGGAACCATATTTGTTTTGTTTGCTGCTGTATCCCAGGACTGAGCAAAGACCTGACACTTCTCTAGCCCCTGAAGAAATGTTTATTGAATGAAGAATTGAATATTGACCTTGAAGCTTTGGAATCCTGGTTTTTCTTGCTTCTTGATAAAGCCAGGAACCAGATGAAGAACTTCAGAGGCCTAAGCAATAGAAAGATTATGATGTCCCTCATATTTTCAGCCCTCAGTATGTATTTCAAAAACAATATTAAACACAACATCAGTATAAGGAAAATCCAGCAAAATTCTGTTTTTTACCATGGTGACTAATTAGATAAATAGAATTTAAAACATTTGCTATTACTGTCTCTGCTTTGCTAGTTCTCTAAGCACATGCTTTTGGATAATCCTGCCTGGACCAGTGCTTTCCTCCCTTCGGACTTCACCTTCATTTCCTCTTTATTTCATCTGCTAAAGTTGCCAGCCAGTTCCTTTCACCTCATAGGGGTGTCTGGCTCCTGAGACCCCAGCCAAGGCTAAATGCCCCGGGCTCCCTGGGGGTTTGCCAAGAAAGTCAAGTAGAACATGCACACTACTAAAGAGTACCTCAGAGAACTTCCATGCTGAATTGTGATTTATAGTCAGCATAGCACATTGTGCCAAGTGATTACACTTGGGCCATATTTAGTTGTAATAATCTGCTCTTGTGATCTTATATGTCCAGCCCAGAAATGTTCCTTTGGTCGTTCTTCCTGGGTCACTGAGAAGTCAAGACGTAGTCCCACTCTACCATCTGTATTAATCTGGCTTTGTTGAAACCATTCAGAGAAGCAAGGTATTCTGTAAGTGTAGAGCCCAGGCCTTGTACAGGCTATTCCAAAGCTGTGACCGTAATCAAATCTGTTGCTGTTTCATTTCGAAGAGCTTAAAATAGTGTTGGAAACCTCCCAGGAAAAAAGCACCACTATAACTTCTTGGCTAAGGAAGGGGTGTGTGCTGGCCAGAGCAGAAGCGGTAGCCAAGGCTCCCAAGTTCTTTTCTGGACCTGTTGATTTGAGGTGTGATATTTAGCAATCTGAGATGCTGTCCTATAGCTCTGATGGTTCATCTTCAGCACAGAGAGTGATGTGGGCCATGCCTGTAGAGAGAGAGGCTGACATTGGTCCCCTGTGATCTAGGGGAGCCTCATCATTAGATGTCATTTCTTTCATTTTAATTTCTAGTTCTTTTTAAAAATTTTTAAAAGAATTTATTTATTTATTAAAAATATTTTATTTATTTATTTGACAGAGATATAGCAAGAGCAGGAACACAAGCAGGGGGAGCGGGAGAGGGGGAAGCAGGCTTCCCGCCGAGCAGGGAGCCCGATGCGGGGCTCCATCCCAGGACCCTGGGATCATGACCTGAGCCGAAGGCAGACGCCTAACGACTGAGCCACCCAGGTGCCCCAAGATTTTATTTATTTAGAGAGTGAGAGCGAGTGAGGTGAGGGGAGAGGCAGAGAGAGAGGGAGAGA